CAGCACTGGAAGGAGCACATCAGGGAACAGCAGGAGCAGATGCTGTCCCTGAGTGTGCACAGCACTGACTGTCACTGTCCTCACACATAGGTGAACATCCCGATGGTAAAGCACACAGAGAAAACAAAAAACTGCACGTGGAGGTTGGCCTGCCCCCTTCTATTCACGCATGGCCACACTCTATTTGAGAAGAGCCCAGACCCCTGGGACACTGAAGTCCAGCTGAGCTGTCAGCCCACTGCACAGGTGTGGTGAGAGCTGCAGTAACTTGCTCTGGAGCAGGGGACAGGAGTCGTCCTTCAGGTCCGTAAAAGGAAAGCCATGAACATCGGAAATGGGAATCAGAGCACAGGAAGCAGCACACATTTATTTCAGCTACTGGGTCAGTCAGTGCGTGATTACTACAGTGAAATCCTGGAGACAGTCACTATAGAAAGAGGAAAACCTGATGAGGGGAGAGATCCCCTCCATCTCCTGTTCCTGCAGGATGAGTGATCAGACACTGAGTCTCCTCTGAAGATCTCCCCCTAAGCACACAGGCCACATTCTCCTCTAGACCATGAGGTATTTCTGGATGAGATATTTCTGGAGTCTGGGAAAACTCTCTTAAGTAAACATGCATTTAAATTGGCCTAGGAGTGACAGTACAGAGGAGACTATCAGAAAGTGAGTGTCCTGGTTGGAGTCCTGCTTCTGAGGCCATGAAAGACAGAGTTCAGGTGTTTCCTTTAATGAGAGGGCTCTTACCATGTGGAAAGTTCTGGGACTAAGGGATAAATAAGAACTAGGCTGATATATCTCCACAGAGCTTTGGACCCTGAGACTGCAGAAGCCAGAGCCTGGCCGAGGGAGGAGCTCTCTGTCCCCATTGGGTGGGTCCACAGAGGTGGGGACAAGAGGCTAAAGAATCTCATTTTACACTTCCGTTCATCTGCATGTCCTGCAGTACTGAGGTCTCCTCTGGCAGAGGCATGCTGTCAGAGTAGGCAAAATGAAGTGCACCATACCTGTTCTGCTCTACCTAGGTAAGGGCTGGGAGGAGAAAGACACCAGGCTGGGATAGAGAGAGGGATCTTGTGAGGTATCAGACAGAACCTCTGACAGGACAGGAAACTCTCTTCCAGGGCTGAGACTGCACATGGCACAGCAAGGATCCTCAGGTGAGTCCTACCCAGCACTCTGTGTCCTAGCCCAGCCTCAGCTCCTGGCCTTCAGCGGGTTAAACAGAGGCTTAGGCTGAGGTTTAGTAAGAGGGAAAGGCCTTGGAATTATCTAGGGGACAAAGAGGTCCTGGATCCATTCTCTGATTTCCTTGCAGGGACCCTCCCAAAACCCTCTCTCTGGGCCATTCCAGGCTCTGTGATCCCAAGGGGACGTAATGTAAGCCTATGGTGTCAAGGGATCCAGGGTATCCAGAGTTACCGTCTGAACAGAGAAGGAAGATCAAAGTTCTTGGGAAAACCAAATCTACATGGAAACAAGGCCAAGTTCTCCATCCCATCTATGACAAGAGATGATGCAGGGCGATACCGCTGTTACTATCTCAGCGGTGCTGACTGGTCAGAGCCCAGTGAAGCCCTGGAGCTGGTGGTGACAGGTGAGAGGACACTCAGGCTCCAAGCCCAAGCTTCTGGCCGGAGGAAGAAGTCTACTCTCAGGAGTGTCCCCTCCTCACAGTCCCGTCTTGGGAACACTGTGGGAGGTGTGGGACCATTTCCCGTGCTACTTCCTTCTCTCCTAGGAGTCTATAGCAAACCCAGCCTCTCAGCCCGGCCCAGCACTGTGGTGACAACAGGAGCCAATGTATCCCTCCAATGTGCCACAGAACAACAATGTGACAGGTTCATTCTGACTAAAGAAGGAGAAGCCAACCTCTCTTGGAACCTAGAATCCAGACGTCTTCCCAATGGACAGTTCCAGGCCCTGTTCCCAGTGGGACCAGTGATTCTTGGTCCCAGGTTATCATTTAGATGCTACACCTATGACAAGGAAAGTCCCCATGTGTGGTCCATACCCAGTGACCCCCTGGAGGTTGTGGTCTCAGGTAGGAAGACCTATACCTATCCTCTCTCTGCTCAAAATGTCACTCTGGCCCTTAAACCAGGGGCCATTTTTTTGCAGTTGGAGTAAGGATTATTTGGGGATTCCAGTCAGGGAGAGTCCTTCCTCTAAGACAACAGGGCTCCTTCAAGGGGAGCTCACTCCAGCCATTTGATTTGAATTTAAAAATTGCCACATGGTCAGGGGAGGGTTTTTGAGCAGCCTCGGAGTTCATTTTGGACAGTGAGCAGTGGCAGGGTGCTCAGGGACAGGCTTGGACATTACATTTTCATATTTTGATTGGCAGAATCATCTACTCCCAGTCCCCCATGCTCAGGGCACATCACCACACCAGGATGCACTGGGGGTCCCATCTCCCCACCCTCTTCTCCCGGCTCCACAGCAGGTGAGTCTTGGGCTCCATCCCAAAGATCCTATGTCCAGACTGCCTGGAGACTCTCTGCCCATCTCGACTCTTCTCACAGCCTCAACTCATTTTGTGTCCAGAGACCTGAGCTTCAAGTGGTGTGGACAGGACCAGGCAAGAGGGTCTCCTCTCTGGTCATTGATTTTCTTATCTGTGTATTTCCAGGGTGGGGACAGCAGTGCCATGTTGCTGGATTCTGAGAGTTTGAGGAGATGGGTGTAAGCCCCACACAGAATAGAGTCATCAGTTAAACAAATCACTTCATAATCTAGATGCCACTCATGGCCATGGTCTGGGAAGGAACCTGGAATTTGTGATTGGGATCTCGGTGGCTTTTCCCCTCCTGCTCACCATCCTTGTGCTCTTGCGACTCCAGCATCAGGGCTACTGCAAGAAGGCAGGTGAGAAAGGAGAGGGTGACCTGGGCTGCACCGAGGGAGGGATCAGAACCTGGGCTTAGGACCCAAAATCTCAAGGATCCCATGTGTGACACCAATGATGAGAAGTCTTAGTAGATGCAATGAGGGCTCCCCGTGGATGTCACAGGGCTGCCTCTTTCCCATCACCAGGACCCAGCTCTGCTGACACCTGCCCAGAGGACTCCCACAGCCACCAGGTAAATCATCTTTCTTCCACCCCTTGACTCTCACCCCAAGTCTCCCACACCGAAAGATTTCCTTGCTTAAATCTGTGCCCCTTGAATTCAAGGCCCTGAGCTCCTGAGGGCAGGGACTCTCTTCTGTGTCTTCACTGTGACTCACCAAGCTCCCTGCAGGCTGCTGCCCAGGGAGTGAGGAGTGGTGTACTACATCCCGACCTCTTCCTGCAGTTTCCATCAGCAGCCCCACAGGGAGCACTGCCTCTTTTAAGGTTCACTGTCTGTGAGGCTAGGAGTGTGGCTGGTGCCCACCAAGACCCAGAAGTCTGTGTGCCCAGAGGAGGGGACAGACAGAACACTGACCAGGCACAAAGACCTAGGCAGTGCACAGCGCTGTGTGCCACGCATGGCAGGGAAGGGCCAGTCCCTATGTGAAGAGAAGAAAAGGCTCTAGGGAACAGTGCAGAGAGACCGTATGACCTTATGACTTGTCAGCAGAGACCTAAATACAGGACATGCCTGTGACTGCCCCAGCAAGAAGCATTCCTGCCATAGTACAAGAACTGTGAGATCAAATGGGGACACAAACACCTTCTCCAGGAGCAGCCTGAGGCCCAGTGTCACTTGAGCTTATGCATAAAGTACAGATTCAGAGCTCAAAGGGCTCAGTACCATAGTTCTCTGGGCTCTGATGGGGCTTGTGAAGCTAATGAAGTTTGCTCAGTGAGTGTCCAAGCTGACTGCTGTCACAGTACTCACTCTGGAGCTCCTGTAGGACCCAGTGATGGTGCAGAGCATAGTCAAGTTGCAGCCTTTATCACTGTCTCCCTGCTGCAAAGCCCTGAGCTTGAGGACCCCAGGAAGTGACCTACACTCGGGGGCAGCCCTCCAGTCAGGATGTGGTGAGGCCACCCCTGCTTCCCAATGTCAAAGCCATTCGAGGGCCTGAGTGACAGAGCCACAGGAGAAATGCAGACGGACAGGAAGTTGAGTCCAGTCTACTGCAGGTCCCCCGAATTTCCCAGAATATACCCTCATTCCAGTACCCACCCTCTCTCCCTCCAGGCAGCTGACTCTGAAGGCAACCAGGGAGTGACCTATGCCCAGCTGAACAGCTTCAAGCTAAGAGGAGAGCCCACCACAACCTCTTCCTACCAGCAAGACAAGTTCCCAGCTATAAGCAGTGTGTATGCCCATCTGGGTGTCCATCAGCACAAGAGAGACCTCAGAACCCACAGTGCAAGAATTGGCTCCTAGGGACCTCAGGAGGGACAAGAGCTACCCCATGAACCCTCAGCTAAGGACTATGGGCAGCCTAGCGGCCTGGCGTGGGACCTGAGATGTTCTAGAGGTTGCCTGATCATGAAATCCAATGTAGCTACATTAACACATCTGAACATTTAACAAGTAAGTTTCTAAAATAACTAAGACTCAGCAAAGGATATCACAAACCCATCAAATTTATCATAAGATTAAAAACATGCATCAAGGTCATGAAGTATGTGTACTTTAGAGTAAAGGAAAACCTTAAATAAACTGAAATGGAGAAACAAACAATTCAATGATTGCTAGGTGCAAGAAAATGACATTAATTTTGACAAGGTAAGAAAGTAGGAAATAATGACCATACCAACAAATAGTAATTTAAATTAAAACAATATAAATATAAACTTGTCTTGAAAGTCTAATAAAGTTGATGATACCCTGAGAACATTTCAAAGGAAAACAATATTCACAAAAGAAATACAGAAGGAAAGTGTCTCAACTTGTGCAGCTGGGGAACATGATGTTGCCACCAGAAACTCTCCCTCATTCTTCATTAGAGGAAAATGACAGCACAGGACCCCTGGGTTAATCAGCAGCAAACAACACACCCTGGAGTCTAAAAGTATGAGCAAGGTGGGGTTGCCCCAAGAATCAGGACTGGGTGAGTCATTTAGATCATCAGTGTAGTTTACTGCATTTACAGAAAAAAGGATAAATGTGTTCACCTGAGCAGAGGAAGAACACATTCTTTGGAAAGCCAGCAGGTGTTCACAATTTCAAATATTAGGAAAAGTGCTCAATTTAATTGGATGGAAACTTACACAGCACCTGGAAGAAGCCTCCTACTTACAAAGGAACTTGGTATCCTTACCCCAAGAATTAGGAAGGAGAGAAGACGCTCTGTTGCTGGGCTCATGTTCAACATTTCTCTGGAGGTCTAGGCAAGGATTGAAGGCAAGATGATGACAGCAAACAGCAATGACACTGAGGACAGAGAAAGCTCAAGTATGGGCTGTGACTCTTCAGAAATTGTCAGAGTCCTCATGTGAAGGGAGCTTGATTCTGCTCCTATAAAACAGAAATTCATTAGGAGGAAGATAATAAACATATCAAAATAAAAACTTTTTTTGTCTTTTTCCTTTTTCCTTTTTTTATCAGTACCGGGGATCAAACTCATGACTGCCTGCTTGCAAGGCAGGCGTTTATGCCGCTGAGCTAAATCCCCAGCTCCCAAAATAAAAACTTTTGCAAAATGAAAATTAATGTCTCCAGATATTTGTGGATCCCAGGAAAAGCAGATAGACCTAAGCAACAGGGGGAACAAAGGAGCCCTCAGCCTGTGCTCCCAGGAAGTCCCAGGGTGAGAACTCACACAGGGTGATGGGGTTAGGAAGTGTTTCCAGGTGGGAGGGAGATTCTTGGGGAGGATTAGGCTGACAGAGAGAAAAGTAGGACACAGACAAGGAAGCACACAATGCCACACCCAGGAGGTGACCTAGGAAAGTCTCTCAAGAGAAGGACAAAGGGACAGCAGGGTCCCCAGTGCACAAGGTGGAGGGGTCAGGATGGGGCTTCTTTTCCTGAGCAGGGTTCCAGAAGCCTCCCCTACTCCCAGGAGTCAGGACAAAGCAAACTGAGGTAGGCCTTGGTGGGGTGGCTGTGAGGGACAGACCCTAGAAAGTATGCCCAGTGTGCATTGGCTCATGGTATCCTGGGAAGAGCAACCTGAGAAAGCTTTCTCTTCATGCCTTGGCTTTGTATTCTACCTTGGCAAGTTACCAGGATGTAACCTCTAGGACACCTTCATTTGTAATCTCATGGAGATTCTGTGATGTCCCCAGGCTTGATGGGAAACAGTGGGAGAGAGAAGGGGCATTTTGGTGAGTTGGTGACAAGCCACAAAAGTTTTCTTTCAGCCACCTTCATTCCACATTTTCCAGAGAGTCTGAGGCTGCAGCCCCTCCCCACAGCTGCAGTCCCTGAGCCCTGTCAGACACAGGCAAGAGGCTGCTCAGCCTTTCTGGGGTCTGACTGAGGGTGAGGCTGAGCCCCCAGCACAGCTGGGGAAACACCAGGCTTCGGGCACCCCGGGCATGGCCCTCCTGAGTCCCCTGGGCCTCTGTTCTCTGTGCTCACCTGCGACTAGAGAGGGACCAGCACTAATCGCTGGGTCACCGGGGTCTCTACCCAGCAGGTCTGGAGTGCAGTGCTGCTTAGTTCTGTTAAGCATTTGGGTTTCATACTTGTGTAATGCATTGTTTTTTTCTGTAAAAATAACAATTTTCTATGAAAATTCACGTATATGAATTTGTACATAAAAACGTACATAATAAAACTGTTGAATACTAATAAGTGAACTTCAGAAATATTTTTGAAGTTTCATTAATTGGAATTGTGTGTATACACAGAAAATTTGTAATACGATCCACTATTTTAAAAATTTGTGATAATATTCTTGATGATTTTATGTTTTCAGAATAATATTTTTATTCAAGGATGCTATTGGTTTGTATATATTAATTTATTTTATATTACCTTAAGATTCTCTTCCAATAACTTTTTAATAATCTATGATCATTGATAAAAGACATGTCAAGAAAAATTGATTTCACAACTGAATATCCACTAGTTATTATTATACAATATTGATATTTTATTATATCTAGATCTACTTAATTCATATCCAAGGATATTTATCTTTACTGTCTCTCTGTCTCTGTCTCTGCCTCCGTGTCTGTCTCTGTCTCTGTCTCTGTCTCTGTCTAGTATACTAGAGTAAGAACTTAACCCAGAAAACATGAAAGATCATTTGTTCAGGAAAATAACATAGGCAAAACACAGGAGTCAGGAAATTACATGGGATGAATGTCCTGGGAGCACACATATAATGATTGTGCTTACAGTGTGTGTTTTATATGTTTGCATTTTTTTCACTTTCATCCACATCCTTTACTTATTCTGCTTGTATCTTTTTACATATTTACTATAGGTCATTCTACATGGATTTATATATGTGTAAACCAGATGCACTGATTTTAGGAAAGCCTGACATTTCCACCTTGTGAAATACAGACATGTGTATGTGCCTGTGTGTGTTATCCTGCACGTGTTTGAAACCATGACATGATTACTTAAGATGAGGTTACAAGGACAAGGGTATTAAGGGGCCTTGGCAAGGTCACAGGCCCAAAAGTTCAGCCTCCATGAACCAGAGCTTCAGGACCCCTGAGGGTCAGAACTTCATGCTTGGACCCTGGTCCTCAGTCAGTGAATGAGGGCAAACTCACCTCAAGGGGAATCCCTGTACATTGTGCTGTGTTCCAGATAAATCAAGAGCTCACAGTGCTCGCTAATTTCCACACTGGAAATCATGTTTGTTTCCAGTTCTGAGCTCTCTGAACTCAGACAGCCTTGGTTCCTTAGGGACTTAAACCCAAGTGCAAAATTCACAGAGCTCAGTGAGGATGAAGAAACCACTAGGGAGATGAGAGGAAAGCCTAATCCAACAGTGAAAGGCCTCCTGTGAATTTCATGAAGTCATGTCATGATGGTAAGATAGAAGTTTGCAAAGCCCAGAGAAAAGGCTCTGGTCCTGCAATGATTCACACATTTTGTTCTTCTTTGATTCTCCAGAGCGATAGAGAGCTTCAGCCCATCACAAACCTGATCAGACTCCAAAACCAGTGAGCAAGAGAATTCACAATTATGGAGTTAGATTCACAGGTCTTTGGAGAAGGCAAGTACACTAGCTGAATATTCAGGAATGCTGGGGTGATTGTAGGTTTTTTTTCTTTTTTGTTCTCTTTGTCACTAATCCTGGCTTCAAACCCCAGCATCACATAGTGGACAGTCTCATATGGATAGGCCTGGTTGACCTGGTACTGGTGATCCTCAGGACCCCACTATTCTACACTCAGCACAGCCAGAGAAGGATCCACGTGCAGTCAGGAGCTGAACTTGTGAGAGGGAAACTCACTGAGCACTCACGGGTGGAGACATGGAAATAAATATGTCTTCCTTGAATGTGGTTTGAGTTTCATTATGTACGTGTGTTATCACCCATGTTCAACCTATTCAGCCCAATAGTTGAGGGATTTCATGATGTCCAACACTCTCATGGGAGGTGATCTCCACTATCACACAGAGAGGACAAAAGAACTACACTACTATTTCTGATAAAAGACTGTTATTAGCCCCAAGTAAAAAAAGAATGAATAGAGATAATCATGCCACCATTAACAATATAAAGGAAATCATTGAACATAATAGAGCTTAAGCTGCTCAGATATTGACATGCCGTAAGTATGAGAAAAGGCTATAGCTATACCACTCTAACCCCTAGAAAACTGATCCACCATAGCAATAGAGACACAAAGACAAGGCAAATTTTGACATCAGCACACATCTAGTCAAAGCATCAGCTCTAACATCATTAACAGTAGAAAAGTATTCAGCACTAGGATCCTAGAATCAACTGTAGAGATAAAAATTTAAAAAGCATTATAAGTAATAAAAATAGGTATGAAAGGGGTGGTGAAAGGAAAACAGAAAGAAATAAAATTTTTAAATATTGACATGGGAGAGAAGAGGAAATTGGAAATGTAAGGTAAAATATCCAATTGAAGAATAAAAGAAATTACTAGAATTAGAGTAAAATTGCCAAATAAAAGTCAAAAAGAAAAGAGAGATGAATAAAGCAAAGAAGAAAAATAAAGCAAGCAAGCAAGCAAACAGAAAACCCTAAAACAAAATAGAGAAAAAGATCAAAAAATTCTCCTTTGTGTTTGGGTGAGTGGTTTCTTTCCAAACTCTGTAAATTGGAATACACCAGATACTGAGGGAGCAGTGAGTCATAGCAAGAGCTTATTCCATTTCAACCCACTTCTTCTGTGTGTGTACACTGATTCCTGCCCCACAGTACTGTTAGGGAGCTGAGTTAGATAAAAATGTCATAGGCAGTCATGTAGATTTGGGCCTCCCAGAAACCAGGGCAGAAGACCAACTGTGGGCGAGGCAGACACCTCCCACTGTGGGCAGGACCTCAAGACAAAAGATCAAACACATGTGCCCACATCCTAAGCATAAAGCATCAGGGATTGATATCCTAAATAGGTCTATATCACCCTGAGGAAGCCAGAAGGAGCCATTAACCTAACCACCTACAGGCACAGAGCCCCTGCTCTATATTCATCTATGATTGCTATATGACTTGCTTCCCCACTTGTCCCCATTTAATCAATCTTAGCTGAGCAATTATGCTCATAATCTTATTGGTTGCCATAGTTCTTTTTTACCAGGGATCGAACTCAGGACCACGCGCTTGCAAGGCAAACGCTTATGCTGTGGAGCTAAATCCCCTGCCCCGGTTGGCCATAGTTCTATCCCACCTCATGCACATTTTGTGAGTTTCCAGTTTTCCCCACCTTGGACCTGCCTACGTTTGTGGTTTTTGTTCTATAAAATCCCTAGAAAATTCAGGTCCTCTGCAATCCACTTGGGAAAACTATTGTCTCTGAGAGAGAAGCTTTGTTTCTCTCAGTAAACATATTCTACTCTAAGCTTCCTTTGTTCTTAAAATTCATTCTGTGACTTTAGAGAACACAAACTCATACCAGACCTCTAGGAAGTTGGGTTTCTTTCCACTCTGTCACTTCCTACTGGACAGTGTCAATCAATGATGTGGTGTCTCCGTTTATGACGCTGTTCATTCCAGCAGCTCTTAGTGTTTGTGGCCCTCTGTGCCCCAAGTCCCTACTAACTTCTACTAGCTTCATGGCCACTGGCCTTGTGAAACCCCCTTGCCACAGAGCTCTCTCTGTCCATACACCCCAGTGTGTGGCAACTGTCTAAGCTGAAGCATGTCTTTAATCACACTGGCAAATGGGAAACATAGAGATCTCTGAGGTCTGTGTCTTCTGAGGCATCAAGGGGTTGGATTAGGCAGGCAACAGGACTTAATGCCAGCACTTTCACATCCAAGCCTCCTAGAAACTCACAAGCAAACAGCCTGGCTTACTGCCAGAGACATAGACTACTATGTCCTGCCTGCCTGACCTGAGCTCATCCTTGCTTAACCTTTTCAGGAAGTCTGTGGCTGTGATTGTCTCTTGTGCTTCTCCCACCCAGCACCTTTGGTGGGTGTGATCCAGGAACCCTGAATGTGGTGACACTGTGACTTCTCATTCCTGCAGTATATTACCTTTAAGAATTAACCTCTTCCCCAAAAGGCTCACGACTAACCCCTTCCAATATAACAGAGGCTACAATGGATGTCTTTTCCAGGTCTAGTCAGTCATGTGAAAGTAGACACTTCCAGAGTGTAATCCAACATTGTATTTGCAGTTGACAATAACCACAGGATTTTCTTGGTGCTACCTTTTCTTGTTCAGTCCGCTGTTGCTCTCTGAGATGCCAAGCCTGTCCAAATTTCCTTTGTGTTTGCAAAGGCAGGATCCTTTCTCAATAGTTGCGGTTAGAATTCCAGGCTGCTTTCTTCTTTTCTCTGCCCTGTATTGTTTCTCCAGTTCCTCTGTGATGTCTAGTTCCCTTCCATTGCTTTTCCTTGAGTCTCTTGGCCATTCTTCCTTTACACTTCCGTAAGTCATTGTTTGCCCAGAGTCTGGCTTTCTGGTTATGGAGACACTGTATTATCCTCTTGAACTTTAATATGCCACATTACAATTTTTTCTTGGCACACTAAAATCTTTGAAAGCATCTAAAGTTTACCAAATTGTAGAAATAATTTCAGTAGTCTTCATCTTTAATAAGTTGACAGAGAAAATGATGACCAGGGTGGGCTGTATGGATCCAAGTGGTAGAAAAATGTTGCGAAGACATTTTCCACTTCTGATTCTTCTCAGAAGATGTGGTCATTTAAATGTTTCACACAACATGAGAAGTCCTTCTCCAAAAACATCTCAAGGGATCCACAAGAAGTCCCTGAGCCATCAGCAGAAACATGGCAATCCTAAATGGGTGCATGTAACACCAGAGCCCGGGAGGGAGAGAGGAGGATGAATCAGGCAGAGCTGGTGTGGTAGGGCCAGGACTGCACTGCCTGGGGAGGAGATGTTGTCATCAAGGAACAGAGTAACAGTAACCCCAAAGTGACACCTCTCATAGGTTTTACTCAAAAACATAATTATTACAATTATAAATATGCATATCTCAGGGTTTTTAGGGCACAATTTGAACTTCCATAAAATGGTTCAACAAATGAAAACCCTGAATACACACCACATGAGGAAAGCTCTCCTTCACTGTAGGAAAACACCAGTCACTTATTTAATGTAAACATTTATCATAATAATTACATGTTATGAATATTAACTGAAGAAAATTACAGAATAGCTCCATTTGAGATCCTAAAATTCAAGTCAGACTTTGTCCAGCTTCATCATGAGTTTATTTCCACATTGTTGAGAAGACTTTCATGTATGGGAAGCATGGAAGTTTTCATCTTCTGTACATCTGCATTGTAAACCACTGCCACAACTAGCTGAATGACATACTCCATGCCAACTTATCTGTAGATACCATTAGGTCTTTTCTTCTCTCTTTTTTTATGCTTTGAAAACACTTTCAGCCTCTTTTCAGATCTCAAGTGTTCAGTACTATTTTGGTAATTGAAGTAAAGCAGAGCTATGATGGGGAAGTTGAGAGATGTAGGTCATAGGTCCTAATGTACATGCAGGAAGAAGAGTCATGGAGATCTGTCCACACTATGAGGACCATACCTCACATAGCTGCATCTAAGAAAGCTTTCTTTGTTCTTCTGAGCAATGTATGTTCTCTTTCAATTAAGGAGATTGATGAAGAAATTCTCCACTGGGTACAAGGAAAGATCTAAAGAGATGCACTGTGTGTCTTCCTCTGGCTGAAGACAGGAGAATTTCACTGCCCAGTGTGCTACTTGCCCCATGCTCTCATCTTCAGAGCAGCTCTCCTTTGTTAAAAGCAAAAGATCATGAAGGTCAAGCACAACTGTAAGCTTCTTTAGCAGTCTGAAAAATGGAAACCTTCAACGGACTAGAGTAAAGTGCTGTTCACAAGAATAGGAATTATTCAGAAAATGACAGAATTAAAATATAAGAAAGCCTCTGAGAAATTAGAGGCACCATGATTTTCTCTTAAAAACAAAACACTGAAAATACCACTGAATTTTCAAAAACATTTTGAGTTAATGAAAGATGTTTACTCACTTTACTGACATAACAAGTTAAGTAGATATAAATTTTCAAAGTTAACATAGTGAATTTAAATTTTAAATGTTAACATAGTGAATCACACAAAGGACAGGGTTTCCGGGGATGAAGGCTTAAGCAGAGTGTGCAAAAGGGGCTGGAAATGTACAACGAAGTAAAAATAGTGACCCAATATAAAATGGAAATGGAAGACAGATCAATACCACAATACTCTTCTAAACTGTAATCTGTGAGGAAGATGTGTGAAATGGATAAAACGCATTTGTTTGATAAGTTGTCAGTATTTGCATATTGGTCACTATGTTCAGGTGGCAGGGGCTGTTGCCTAGAGGAGCAGAATCACATGTGGGTCTCTCAGAGGGCAGAGAGTACACAGCAATGTCTCCCTGTGGTTCCAGATGCAGCAGTACAGAATTTGCAGTGTGCACACATTGGGACTGCTTGGCCGTGGGTTCAGTGTGGCCTTTTTAAGGCTGTTACACCCTGGGCCTCATCTGAAAGTTTCATAAGGCCCTGCCCCCACTGTGCTATGTTGAGAAGGACCTGGACATCTTCCTGTGTGGTTAGCAAGAAGTGAACTTTGCAAGTGTGACCTGGGGCAATGACAATCACATCCTACATGTTTTCTAGCTTTTCCCAGTTTCTAACTCCTGTCCTGTTGAGAAACAGTATGTCCCAAATCAGTCAACCTCCCATGTCCTGTAAATCCTGGAAGGTAATGCAGCATAAGGTCATTGTGGAAAAACCTGTCCTGAGACATGGGGTCCACAGGACCCAGGCTTGAGGAGGAGTCTCAGGATACTCAGTTCATGCACTATTTTCACTCAGTCTAATTGGTGCAGGCCAACACCCAAGACCAGGCATAGTCATGGAGAGCAGGATCCACATGGGCACAGGTCACCACCCATAGGATTGTCTCTCCAGGATGTTGTCTGGCCAACATCCTCTGAGACACATGCTGTCCTCCATGTCCCTGCTCACCCCTCAAACACAAAGGGCTTCCCAAGTGGGAAGTATGGGGTGGGTGCAGGTGACATAGCAGACTTTCCTGGGAATTCCCTGGCAGCACATGGGCAAGGTGTCTCAGTACCTGAGGGGCTTATTCTGTTCACAGAGCTGAAATGGCTCTGCCTCATTCTAAGCCGGTCCCCAGCAGGAGTCTGTGATGCTCAGAGTCTGGGATCTCTGGGGTGAGCTGGAATCACTTCTGTGAGGAGGAAGCCCCTCCCTATTTCCTCTCTAATCCTATTCCCCCTCCTCACCTATGTGATCATGACAATCTTTCTAAGTCCTGGTTTCCCTAGGGATGATGTGATGTTGTGTGGTCAGCCATGCTCCAAAATTTTGGCCTCCTCATCTCTGAGCCCCACAGTGAATTTTTAAACAACAAACTCACTAAGCACTATTCTGTATTTGACACCACAACACAAAGAGGACCAAATGGTGGGTGGGAGAGGAGCTCCCTGAGGAAACAACCTCCCCACAGCCACCAACCCATGCTGTAGAGGATGAGATGAGGAGAGACAGACAGACATCCACACATTTTCTCTCTCCAGAACCTGCACCAAGCAGGGCCTGGTGCAACTCACCTGGTGCTAAGAGGAAGCTGCACCAGCAGCAGATACTCTCAGCTTTGCAGCACAGCACAACCAACCTCTCAGAGTAACAGACTGTGGATTTGCTTTATCAAGAGTGATTGAGAATAGATTACAAATCAGACCTTAAATTGTTTTTACACTCTGTGATCATCGTTTCCACTGTATACTGGAGTGAAGATGCCAACCACTGTATTTGGGGAAAACATCTTAACCAATTTTCCACTGGTAGAATTTTACAACTATTATCTTCCTACTTATTAGCGATGATTACCTGATCTGAAAATACAATGGTCAAATCTACCTGTGGAGGGAATTCTCTTCACAGTCTGTTTCAGTGTTCTCTGTTTGTTATTTTCCATCAGTTTCCTAGTATGGTCTTCTGATCCCTTATAAATTTTTCTTAGTATTTCTCCAGTGCTTTCAGTTCACGGATGATATGAGATGTTTACATTTTAGTTAGCTAAAAGACAACAGCTCCTCCAAACTATTAAAAAGCAGTCTTTGTTGCACTTCCGGAGACAGTGCTTATTTCCGTCTGAAGCCTTCTGAGCACAACATTCACTGTCTCCACTTCTGTCTGGGTTTTGATGCTCTAAGCTTTCACCAGAACCCGAGTTCCTCCACCAGCACTCTAGGATGTCTCCTGCCCACCCCTCCACACTTTTCCAGATTCCACTCCTAGACCAATTCCACAGTCACTCCCAGTGGTGCCCATAGGTCCTGTGACTCCAGACTATTCCTGATCCATCCATGGGAGGTGCTGCTCCCACATCAGGCTCATCCTCTGCTTCCCTGTGCTCTGGTCACACTGCTATGGCCACAGGTCACCTCTGCCAGGGCTTCTGGCAGCTCTGGAGCATGTGAAGTTCAGACATGCACACAGGGACCATGGACCCACTGTGTCCCTGCACTTCCTGGTGTAAAGACCCTGATTCTCTTATCAGAGATCAGTCACCAATCATACCCCAGGTACACGTGAGATCTCACAAACCAGGAGCTCCCACCAGCTCTTGCCACTGTCCATGTGCTCAGAAGCTCTGCACACACTGAGGACAGTGACTCTGCAGGGGAGGCTCAGGTGGAGCCTCACCACTCAGTGTTCTCTCACCACTGTCACCTTTCACAGTGCTTTCTTCACGCAGGGCAAGGACAGGCTCCTTGCTCCCTGTGACTTGGAATATGGTGCTCTGTAAGCTGTGGTGAATCTCTGAATCCCTTCTACTTCCCCTTCCATCCATCACAGTCCCCTGGGCAGGCAGAGCCTCTGTAGCCCCAGATGAGCCCTCAGTGCTGGAGAGAGCATGTCAGGGAACAGCAGGAGCAGCCGTTTTCCCTAGGTGTCCAAGCACTGACTGTCACTGTCCTCACACACAGGTGAACATCCTGATGGTAAGGCACACATGGAAAGCAAAGACCTGCACGTGAGGCTCCACCTGCCTCCTCCTATTCATGCAGGGCCACACTTTTCCCAGGCCCTGGGGACTGTGAAGCACAGCTGAGCTGTCAGCCCACAGCACAGGTGTGGGGACAGCTGCTATGACTCTTTCTGGAGCAGAAGACAGGAGTTTCCTTCAAGTCCTTAGAACAAAAACCATAAAATGGGAGTCAAAGCTCAGGAAGCAGCACACGCTTATGTCAGCTGCTGGGCCAGTCAGTGTGTGATTACAGTAGGGGAATCCTGGAGACAGTCACTATAGAGAGGGGCAAACCTGATTAGGGGAGAGGTCCCTTCCACCTCCTGTTCCTGCAGGATGAGTGATCAGTTGCGAGGTCCCCACTGATGATTTCCCTCTCAGCACACAGGCCATGTGCTCCTCTAGACCACAAAGTATTTCTAGAGTCTGGGAAAACTCTCCTAAATAAACACTCATTTAAAAATGATCCAGGAGTGACAGTACAGAGGAGGCTCTCAGAAAGTGAGTGTCCTGATTGGAGTCCATCTTCTGAAGCCAGAAGGACAGAGCCTGGGTGCTCCCTTTAACAAGAGGGCTCTTGCCACGTGGGAAGGTCTGGGACTAAAGAAAAACTCAGAGCTAGGCTGCATGATATTTCTCCACAGAGCTTTGGATCCTGAACCTGCAGAAGCCAGAGCCCAGCCTAGGGAGAAGCTTTCTATCTCCTTTGGGTCCACAGAGGTGGGGACCAGAGGCAGCAGCTCTGACTTTCCACTTCCATTCATCTGAGTGTCCTGCAGCCCTCTCCTCTGTCAGAACTGGTATAGTCAGAGGAGGTGACACACCACTTTTGGTGCCTATTTTGCTCTGCCTAGGTCAGGATGGGGAGGTGCAGGGGACTAGGCTATGGTGGAGATAAGGGATGTGCTGAGGCATCAGATGGAACCTCTGAAAGGACAAGAAACTCTCTTCAGGGCTGAGTCTGCAAGGACCTGCAGGGGAGCCCTCCCAAGCACACTATATCCTGCCCAAGCGTCAGCTCCTGAGTCTCAGTTGGGGGAACAGAGGATTAGTTTGAGCATGAGGATGAGAAAATACCTTGGAATGATGCGGGAGGTGAAGGGCCTTAGCCCAGACTCTATTCTTTGAAGGGACCCTCCCCAGGCCCACACTCTGAGCCAAGTCAGGCTCTGTGCTTCCATGGGGTACCTCTGTGAGCATCTGATATCAGGGAATGCTGGGAGCCCGGAAGTACCATCTGTACAGAGAAGGAAGATTCAGAATTCTGGATGTATCACTCTTGCTTCAGAGCATGGCCAAGGTCTCCATCCCATCCATCACAAATGGCCATGCAGGGCAATATCGCTGCTACTATGAGAGCACTGCTGGCTGGTCAGAGCAGAGTGCTGCCCTGGAGATGGTGGTGACAGGTGAGTGAACACTCGGGGAGCCAACCCCAGGCTCTGCCCTCAGGAAGGGGTCAGCTTTCAGGAGTGCCCCCCTCTCACAGCTGATACCTGGTGACAGTGTGGGAGGTGTAAGTCCATTTCACATGCTGCCTCCTTCTCTCCTAGGAGTCTATGCAAACCCAGCCTTTTGCCCTTCCCAGCCCTGTGGTGATGCCAGGAGGGAATGTGGCCCTCCATTGTATCAAAAGACAACAATTTGATGGATTCATTCTGACTAAAGAAGGAGACAAACTCTCGTGGACCCTGGACTTAGGGCAACTTCTCAGTGGACAGTTCCAGGCCCTGTTCCTGTGGGTCCTGTGATTTCTGGGAACAGATGGACATTTAGGTTCTACAGTTATTAAGAAGGAGCCCCTAAGTGTGGTCCATATCCAGCAATCCCCTGGAGCTCCTGGTTTCAGGTGGGAAGACCCTGTCCCTGTCCTCTCTCTGCTCAAATGGCCTTTAATCCCTTTACCTGTAAAGAAATTTTTCTCAGTTTGAGTGAGAATGACCTAGGATTCCAGCCAGGGGAGGTTCCTTTCTCTAAGCCAGCAGGGCTCCTCCAATGCATGCCCACCCAACTGGCTTGATTTGAATTTAGCAAGTGCCATGTGGGCAGGTGATGGTGTTGGAGAAATCTCAGGGGTGATTTTGGACAGTGATCAGTGACAGGGTACCCATTCCCAGCCCCCCAACCACTGGGCCCATCAGCACACCAGCTTATCCACAAGATGCTCTTGGGGCACCCTCACCCCACCTTCAATACTCGGCTCCACAGCAGGTGAGTCTTGTTCTCTGCCCCGAATATCCTGTGTCAAGGCTGCCTGGAGACTCTCAGCCCATCTCAGTCCTCATCACAGTGTCAGTTCCTCTTGTGTGCAGAAACCAGGGCTTCAGGTGGAGGTGTGGACAGGGACCTGGGCAGGACAGTATCCTCTCTGAACCTTGATTTTCTCGTCTTAGACTACCTGGGTGAGGACAGCATTGCCCTGTCACTGGATTCTGAGAACTTGAGGTGATGAATATAAACCCCACACAGGGCGGGGTCATCAATTAAGCTCATCACTTCCTGATCTACACATCACTCATGACCAAGTTTCAGGAAGGAACCTGAGGCTGCTGACTTGGATCTCAGTGGCCTTCCTCCTCCTGCTGCTTGCACTCCTAGTGCTCTTGCAACTCCAGCATAAGCACCACTACAGAAGGCAGGTGAGGATGGAGAGGATGGCCTGGGCTCCACTCAGGGAGGAATGAGTAGATGGGATCAAGACTCCAAAATCTGGAGGAGCCCAGGTCTGATATGGATGATGAGGTGCAGATGCAATGAGGGCTCCACATGAGTGTCACATGCCTTCTCCTTCTTATCACCAGTTCCTAGCTCGGCTGCCACTTCATCAGAGGACTCCTGCAGCCATGAGGTAAATCATCCTGCCCTCCACCCACCCTCTCCAAACCACTCTGCTATTTTCTCCATTCTTTCTAACAGTCTGATTTTGTTACTTAAGTCTACAGTCTTTGCCTTCAATGCCATGAAGTCATCAAAGGAAAGGACCCTTTTCTGTGTCTCTACCCTGAGACTCACCAAGATCCCTGCAGACAGCTGACCAGGGAGTGAGGAGTGGTTTCCTGCAGCCTGGGCTCTCCTCTCTGCAGTCTCCATTGCCAGACACACAGGGAGCTCTGCCTCCTCCAGGGTTCAGTCTGTGAGGCTGGGACTGTGGATAATGCCCTCCAGCACCAAGAAGTCTGTGTCCTCAGAGCAGCCCAGAGCAGGGGATGGACAGACAGTGACAGAGCACAGGCTGGGCACAGAGACCCAGGCAGTGCACAGCGCAATGAGCCACATAGGGCAGGGAAGTGCAAGTGCCTGTGGGAAGAGCAGGGAGGGCTCTAAAGAATGGTTCAGAGAGGATCCTCTGTGCAAGAGAATGGTTCATAGAGGATACTCTGTGCACATGTGTCTCAGGAGAGACCTGAACACAAGACATGCCTGTGACTGTCCCAGGGAAGATCCTTCCTGCTAAGAAACATGAAGTGTGATGTCAGATGTGGACACAACACCTTGTGCAGGAGCAGACTGAACATCAGTATCACTGGAGGTGATGCATGAAGGACAGAAGTGTCAGTGCCCAGGTGCAGAGCTCAGCAGGGCTGATTCCCGAGGGTCCCTGGGCTCTGATGGAGCTTGTGAAGCCACTGAGTTTGCTGATTGAAGGTCCGAGCTGACTGCTATCACAGTGCTCACTCTGGGGTCCCTGTGGCACTGAGTGATGGTGAACAGCAGTCAGAGAGCAGCCTTTGTCACTCTCTGCCTGCTGCAGAGCCCTGAGCATGAGAACCCCCAGGAAGTTACCTACATTCAGGTGCAGCCCTCCAGATGGAGATGTGGTGAAGTCTCACCTGCTAGCCTCACATCAAGGCCATTCTAGGACCTGAGCATAAGATCCACAGAACAGGCTCAGGAACAGGCAAGTGAGTCTCATCACTTGCAGGTCCCCAATCTTTCAGACACATCACCCAGATTCCCATTCCTACTCTCTCTCCCTCCAGGAAGCTGACTCTGAGGTCCCCCATGAAGTGACCTATGCCCAGCTGAACAGCATCAAGATGAGATGGGAAGCAACCACAACCCCCTCCTCCCAGGAAGAGGAGCTCCAAGCTGTGCCCAGTTTGTATGCCCACCTCGCTGTTCTCCAGCACAGGAGAGATCTCAGGCCACACAGCGCAAGTACTGAGACATGAGCATGGGTTGGAACAGACCAACCCCATGGACATTCAGATTGTAAACAGCAGCTGCCTGGACCCATGGTATGAACAGTCAATGACTCCTGTGATATTTTAAAATAGTTTGATTCCACAGTGAGTCATAGCTAACATAGCACGTCTGGGAAATATAATAACCCTTTTATTTAAATAATGACTGTGTAAAAGAAGAAACTCCAAACCTAGTGCAAAATGTATGATAATGAAAACTTGCACATGAAATTGATGAAATGCAAGACATGAGGACTTTTAAAATAACTCAAAATCTTAAAAATTCAGAATGGAAAAGTGTCTCAAAATAAGTCAGTGATTCAAGTGCACATCACAAGAAAGAAAGAGCAAATGAGGTTTTGAAAGTGGTATCAAGAAGGAAATAATAATTGTAATATGCAGAGTAATTCAATTCTGCACTTCAGGCTCTGGAGCTAACCAAACTCCAGTTGAGTGGGGCTGCAAGTTTTGTGTTCCCAAGTGTTTGTGGTTTCAAGGGGAGAAGTGTTCCTGGCATTGCAGAGGTCTCTTGGAGGGCAGAAGAGACTAAAAGCTTTTCCTGCAGAAAACAGAAAGGTCCACTGTCTGTAGCAGGGATGCCTCAGCAGGGGCCTGGTGAGACACAAAGGCTGTGAAGTAGGGAGCCTGGCACCTGGGCTCAGGAGGGGATGGGCCTCCCCTGTGCTCACCAGGGAAGGGACAGAGCAGTAGTCTGTCCAGCAGGGGCAGAGCAGGTCAGCAGCCCCTCAGCATTTCCCAGTTAATTGGGCATCTTAACAAGATTGTACATGGAACTGCTTTAGAGGATTCATTTGGCCTTTTCACACTTATTATTGTGTTTGAAAACATGAACATGTTTCGGGTTTTGTTTAGCACTGCTGTGTCTTGAATTCCACATGGATCCCAGAGAGGATTATAGTCCTTCCAGCCTATAGATCTTTGTAGAAATGAAGCAGAGACCAATTTTTTTTCTGCACAGGACACAGATGTGGAGAAAGACAGAAGCCACATGTGAGATCAGAGCTCCCAAGAGAATGGCAGACTCCCACCCCTGCCCACAACTCCCTGGCTGCTCTCTGAACACCCTACTTCCCCCACCACACTGCCTGCCCTGCCACTCAGCCTAAAGCTGGAGGACAACTCTGCCAGGGAAGAACAGGGCCACGTGGGGAGGAGAACTGGGCTGGGTAGGTGACAGCCATCACAAGGATGAGCAGAAATGCTTCTCCTCACAGGTGTGAGAGAGCAGGTATTCCTCTCCTGCATGGCCTTAGCCAATTCCTACTCTCACTGTACTATGTGGTGTGAGAGCTAAGGTGTCCTAGAAAGACAAACCCCTTGTTCTGTTTCCCTCCCTGCTACCTGCTGTGCTACTGTGAAAGACTGGAAGGTAGTGTTTCTATTTTAAATGTTGGGAGGAGCTTCCATCTCTTCCCCACCATGGCTGTAATTACTCACAATCCCACCAAGAGAATAGGGTTTCTCCTCTCCCCACAGCCTTGCCAGAATTTTCTGCTTGACTATTGATCATAGATACTCTAATGATGTGAGGTGATACCTCAGTGTGGGGTTCATTTTCATTACCCTGATGAAGGGTGAGTATCTTGTCATGTAGCTGTGGACCATCCATATGTCTTGGTTTTGTTTTTATTTTTAAGGTTTTTTTTTTTTTTTTTTTTGGTACCAGGAATAAAACTCAGGACCTTGTACTTCCAGGCAGGCTCTTGTGTCACTGAGCTATTTCCCCAGTGCTTTCAGCACTTGTGTTGGTTTGAAAAATGTCTTCAAGAAGGTTCTGCATACTTTGATGGTGTTTGTGCTGAGCCCGTGGGTCACTTTTGGTAGTATGGGAGTTGTGGCAATGTTAATACTCCCAACTCATCAATCCAGAATGTCAGTCTGCACATTTGTATCCTCCTGATAAAGATTTCTTTGAGAAGATCTATTCTCACACCACAGGTGCCCCACCTGGAGGAGGGAGCTGAGCCAGCTACAGGTACCTGCTAGGTCCTTGCTGATGACCTCTCCACAGGGAGAGCACAGGGCAGCTGTGCCGCCTGCAGGTTGGAGCTGAGCTGAGCCATGGGAACCTGCTTGGGCCTTGCCTGCAAACTTCTCTTGGCCTGGAGAGCACCAGAACTACTGCCACCACATGGGAAGGAGCAGCCCTGCAGAGGAGGTTTGAGGCCTATCTAGGCCATGGAGGTGATCTTCTTTCAGCCTGGGGAGCTTTGCCACACAAGGAGGTGGATGGTTACACTACATCCAATCTCTGGGAGAGTTTGAGATACTTGCTCTAGGTGGATGGGGGCTTGCTCTGCCTCTGGCCACACTAGATTGGGCTTAGCAGGAAACTTGCCAGCCTGGACCATACCTGGTGGCCTTCTTTCCATCACAGGAGCTTTGCTGCCAGAGAGGGGACCTGTGAAGCTTGTGGAGGAATTAGGCCTAGCTGAGACAAGCCTGGCAACATTCTTTTAATCTGGGGGCATCGCTGCCCAAGGAGCAAACTACATTACCAGAGGAGTCTCACGAGGCAAGGACATAGGAGATAATTTCCAACAATCCCAGGGGAAGCTTTGGAACAACCCTTGAAACATGAAAATATAGGAAAAACACAAAACAACAGACCAAAATGGAATCTCTAACATCTAGCCCATCCCAAGAAAGCCTAGGAGCCATGTACATAGAAGAAAACACATGCCATATGCCTGAAACACCTAAAATAATAGTAACTGAAATAAAGAAACAACTCCAGGAAGCTTTAAAGGAATTCAGATGAGAAATAATCTTCCAGGAAAAAGAAGAAATGATAAAAGTAATAACTGAGATGCTGAACACATCTAAATAAGACACAGTTAAAAAATCAGAGGAACAAAACAAAAGGATAGAATCCCTGGATGGACAATATAAGAAACAAACAGAATACATAAAGCAGATTTAAAGAGATATACAAGAAATCAAAACTTACATTGAAAGTTGTCAAAACCACCTCACCGAAAGTGAAGATAGAATTTCAGATCTCAAAGACAAGAATGCAGCTAGTGAACAGGAAAGGAATGATCTCTTAACAATAACAAGAAATCAGGAAATAACAATTCAACACCTGCAAGATGACACAAAGAGAAACAACATAAGGTGATAGGGATAAATGAAAAAGAAGGGGACAACATAAAGAATGTCAAGAGGATATTTAGAGAAGTAATAGCTGAAAATTTCCCAAACATGAGATTGGAAACTGATATCAAGATCAGTAAAGCATACAGAACTCCAAATAGCCATAACCAAAATAAAACTACAGCCAGACATATAACAATCGCCATCCCAGAAATCGAACAAAAGAATAGAACATTAAAAGCTGTCAGAGAAAAAAGACAGATCACCTATAAAGGAAAAACCTGTCAGAATCACAGAAGACTTCTCAGCACATACAATAAAATCAAGAAGGCATGGAGTGAAGTATTTCATAACCTAAAAGAAAATGACTTCCAACCTAGACTGATGTACCCTGCAAAAGTGTCCTTCAAAATGGATGGAGAAATGAGATACTTCCATGACAAAGAACAGCTGAAGAACTTCATGATCACCAAGCCAAACCGGCAAAGAATACTGAAAGAGCCTAGATGCATTTAGGAAAAAACGACTAAGCAAAGCAGACACTTAAACAGAACTGAAAGATAAAGATGCAACATCAGAAAGATAACATGTCAACAATAAACCAATATATAACAGTTATAACCATTAATGTAAATGGTCTCAAATGTACCAATCAAAAGAAACAGACTGGCAGAATGGATCAAGAACAAAATCCAATCATATATTGTCCACAGGAAAACCATTGAACCCAAAAGGATACTCACAGACCAAAGTCAAAGGATAGAAAACAATACTTCAAGAAACAGGAACCCCCCCCAAAAAAACTAGGAGTAGCTATTCTGTTTGAAAACAATGTGAACTTCAAACCAATAATGATTGGAAGGGATAAAGAAGGTCACTACATACTTGTGAGGGGAAAACTTCAAGAGGAAGAGATAACTATCTTAAATATATGTGCACCAAATTCCAAAGAACCCAGCTATATGAAACAAGTATTAACAGAAATGAAAAGCCAAATTAGCAGCAGCACAATTCTAACAGAAGATTTTAACACACCATTGACACCAGTGGACAGATCAACCAGACAGAAAATCAGCAAAGAAAAGAACTGAATCACAGCTGTGAACAAAAGGAATTGATAAACATATACAGAGTATTCCACCCAACAGCAATAGAATACACATTCTTCTCAGCAGTAAATGGGTCATTCTCTAAAATAGACCATATATTAACTCACGGAATGTATTTAAATAAATGCAGAAGGGTTGAAACTATCCCTTGCATGCTATCGGATCTTAGTGCTATGAAATTAGAAATTAATGATAAAAGATATTGGAAAAATCCCACAAACACATGGAAACTGAATAACACACTCTTGAGTAATCAGTGGGTAACAGAGGAAGTTAAAGAAGAAATTAAACACGACCTACAAGAAAATGAAAACACAAGTACAACTTACCGGAATCTGTGGGAAGCAATGAAAGCTGTCATCAGAGGAAAATTTATTGCACTGAGTTCCCACATCAGGAAAACAGAACCAATACAAATAAATAACCTGATGCTACACCTCAAAAAGCTAGAAAAAGAAGAGCAAGTCAAGCCCAAAAGAAGAGAAGAAATTATAAAAATCAGAGCAGAAATCAAAGCAATAGAGACTAGGAAAACAGTCCAAAGAAGCAAAGAAACAAAGAGTTTGTTCTTTGAAAAAATAAATAAAATTGATAAGCCCCTAGCCAACCTTATTTTAAAAAGGGAAGAAAAAGCTCAAATTCATGCAATAAGGAATGAAAGAGGAGAAATCACTACAGACTCTATAGAAATACAGAAAATCATCAACACCTATTTCAAAAACCTCTACTCTCAAAGGTTTGATAACACAGAGGAAATGGGCAGATTCCTAGAAGCATACGAAGTAGCGATCATGAAGATGTAAAACTACAGAATAACCCAATTTCTATTAATGAAATTGAAAACGTAATTAAATCCTTACCTACAAAAAAGAGTCCAGGCCCAGACGGATTCACTACAGAATTCTACAAGAAATACAAAGAAGACCTAATGCCAACACTCCTCAAACTCTTCAGTGAAATTGAAAGGGAAGCAATCCTTCCTAAATCGTTCTTAGAAGCAAATATTACTCTAGTACCAAAACCTGAAAAGGACCCAATTGAAAAAGAGGACTACAAACCAATCTCCCTAATGAACACAGATGCAAAAATTCTCAATAAAATATTGGCAAATAGGATGCAGCAAATCATCAAGAAGATCATACACCATGACAAAGTGGGATTCATCCCAGACATGCAGGGATGTAAATCAATAAATGTAATACACCATATCAATAGAGCCAAAAGTAAGAACCATATGATCATTTCTACAGATGCAGGAAAAGCTTTTGATAAGGTCCACCATTGATTCATGATAAGAACCTTGCAGAAAAATGGAATAGATGGTCTTTACCTCAATATAATAAAGGCCGTCTATGACAAATCAACAGCCATTATCATACTAAATGGCCAAAAATTAAAGGCCTTTACTTTAAAATCAGGTACAAGAAAAGGATATCCCTTATCACTGCTCCTATTTAATATAGTGTTGGAAATCCTAGCCAGAGCAATTAGACAAGAGAGAGAAATAAAAGGCATAAAGACAGGAAAAATAGAAGTTAAGCTATCATTATTTGCAGATTACATGATACTCTATATAGAAGATCCCCAAAACTCCATTGAAAGACTGCTAGATATAATAAATAAATTCAGTAATGCAGCTGGATATAGAAGCAATAATCAAAAATCAATAGCATTCCTATACACTAACAACCAAGTCACAGAGAGAGAAATAAGAGAAGCCACACCCTTCACACTAGTAACGAAAAAAAATGAAATATCTAGGAATTACTCTCATGAAAGAAGTGAAAGACCTGTACATGAAAAATTATAATACACTGAAAAATGAAATTGAAGATGATCTCAGAAAATGGAAAGACATCTCTTGCTCATGAATAGGAAGAATAAATATTGTCAAAATGGCCATTCTCCCAAAACTTTTATACAGATTCAATGCAATCCTGATAAAAATACCATCAATATACCTCACAGAACTCGAAAAACAACTCCTAAAATTCATCTGGAGTGAGAAGAGACCTAGAATGGCAAGGACAGTTCTAAGCAGCAAAGGCAAGGCAGGAGGTATCACAATCCCTGACTTGAAGTTATACTAAAAAGCAACCGTAGTAAAATCAACATGGTACTGGAACAAAAACAGAGCTGAAGATCAGTGGAATAGATTAGAAGATACAACCACAATTACAAACATTCAACCACCTTATCTTCAATAAAGGGGCCAAACATGTTCACTGGGAGAACGACAGTCTCTTTCATAAATGGTGCTGGAAAAACTGGCTCTCCATATGCCGAAAACTAAAACTAGACCCATGCCTATCACCATGTACTAAAGTAAAATCTAAATGGATCAAGGATCTAAATATTAAAACAGAAACACTAAATCTATTGGAAGATAAATTGGGTAAAAACCTTGAAGATATAGGAGTAGGTAGAGAATTCATGAATAGGACTCAAATTGCACAGCAAATACTTCCCAGAGTCAATAATTAGGATCACCTCTTATTAAAATGTTTCTGCACATCAAGAGAAATCTCCAGCATAGTGAAAAGAAAACCCACAAACTAGGAAAAAATTTTAGTGAACTACCCCTCAGACAAAGGACTTCTGTCTAAAACATATAAAGAATAAAAAAAATCAGACCCCCAAAATTCAAAGACCTAATCCCAAAAGTGGGCATCTGAGATAAATAAACAATTCTCTGATGAAGAAATACAAAGGGCAAATAAATATATGAAAAAATGTTCATCATCATTAGTCATTAGAGAAATGCAAATTAAAAGCACACTGAGATTTCATCTCCCTCCTGAAAGAATGGCCAAGATCAACAAAACCAACAACAATAAATGCTGGAGAGGCTGTGGGGAAAAAGGAACTCTCCTGCCCTGTTGGTGGGAATGTAGACTAGTCCAACCATTGTGGAGGTCAGTCTGGTGATTTCTCAGAAAACTGGGACTGCAAGCCCCATTTGACACAGCTATACCACTTCCAGGCATATTTCCAAAAGAACTGAAAGCATCATACCTCAGTGATATATGTGCACCCATGTTTATAGCAGCACAATTTGTAGTAGCCAGATCTTGGAAACAACCTAAGTGTCCATCAACTGAAGAATGGATAAAAAAGTTGTAGTATTTTTATACAATGGAGTACTATTCAGCTATAAAGAATGATCACATTGAGACATTTATAAATAAATGGATGCAGCTTGAGACCATACTTATAAGTGAAATAAATCAAAATCACATGTATACATACCGAACAGTTTCCCTAGTGTAAGAAGTGGTAAGAATACATAAAAGTATGTGGTAATCATTATTCCCAGTCATATTGGTTTGAAGCCATATAATGTTCTCACTCATTAACTGCAATGGTTTTAACCTGGGTTGTTCAATTTTATATCTATGATAGCACAAATAGGTATTTTGAAGAAAACAACACAACATTAAAGCTAGTGCTGATTTAATATCATCTTGTTTTGAAGTCCCATCAAGCTGTGGTACATCTGTTTCCACTGGTTTTAACATGTTGTATCTTACTATAGTATAAACAAATCCTTTATCAACAAAGAGATAATAAAGAAACCATTGTTTTTTTTTCTATTAGCTGGTTCTAAATACCCTGTAATTCTTGCATTCTCTTGAATGGCTTCACACTGTCTTGATATGCTTGATGTTATAGCATACAAAGTTACACTCAAATAATTCAAGGAAAGAGGCACTATGGCAACTACTATCATGTTAGATTATCTGGTGGTGAAACACAGTGATGCTTGAATGGTTCGGTTCTGCCCTGCGTTGTTCTGTTACAATGTCTCTTATCTCAATATCCCCCCTTTTTTGTAATTAATCTATTTTCTCTCATTTTTTTAATTAAGGGAAAACTAAATTAAAAATAGCAGGACATATTATAGTAACCTTCTTGGTTTTCCTATTAACCTGATTTGAACCCCAGTATTTCTCTCCCCATCTTGTTCTGTCTGATTATTCTATATTCTATTTTGCTTGATACTATCAAGTTTGAGGGTATAGGCAACCACTTTGAAGGCAATAAGATATACTATGATTCCCATTATGGTTTGACTATTATCCTTTTTTTGAAGTCCTGCAAGGTCTTCAGCATAGGTTTTATTGGTCTTGTTCTGTACTGTTTTGATCAATTCTATTATACCTCATGATATAGAGAACCCAATTTAAAAATAGCAAGTGGCACAATGGTAACCACTTTTGATCACCTGGTATTCTATTTTTGCATCATATGCTATGCCCACCCATCTGTTCTGACTCTGTTTTGCTTAGTCACATTTGGTTTTATTCTCTTCAAAAAAAAAGTAATAAGAACCATGAGAGTAATAAAACCCAAAAAGACTAATTGTTATTGTAAAAAAGAGAGGAAAGGAAGGTGGACTAAGGGATATAACAGCAGATACGTTCGAGTGTACAGGATGGAAAACTATATTACTGAGCTTTTGTTGGATCATTGAACCGAACTGTCTCCAATTTCATTGTACGAATGTCCACTTTACATGCTTTAATTTTGTAATTTGGACAACTGTTTCTGGGAATATGTAACCAATTAACTGGTGATTTCTTACTGTATATTTTTTTCCTTGAAATACTGTATTATTTGTACCCTTTTACTGCTTTGTTTTTTTATGTCCTTTTTTCTCTTTAAATAAAAAAAGTTACTGAAGCATTTACTTCTGTGTTTCTGTCAAAGAGAACAACTCAAATATAAAACCAAATATATGCACAGATACAGAACACTCTAATATTCTTAATAGTGACATATACGTAACTTCTTAATTTCATATTTATCGGTGTGTTAACTATACAAATTCATAGGTTTCATTGTGATTTTACATGAGTTCAAGATTCCTTGATTGTATATCATGCTCCCCTCCATTTTCAATCATTTTCTTTTTCTCCAACAATTTCCCTTCAACTTTCTTGCAATCTTTTATTTTCCCCTTTGATTCCACATAAGAAATAAAATATGTGATTTTTCGCTCTTCGAGTTTGGCTTATTTCACTTAGCATGGTGATCACTATTTCCATTCATTTTCCAGGGGATGACATGATTTTGTTTTCCTTTATAGCTTATTACTTAATTCTAATAAAATCACTTTTAACTTTAGTATAAAAATTCAAGGACAGGGCTGGGGATGAAGTACAGTGAGAGAGTGTTTGCTCAACATGTGAGTCCCTGGGTTTGGTTCCCAATATTAAACACATATAAACCATAAGGAGAAGTGTATTAGTAACAACTACAAACATGTGTTCATGAACACACAGTGATGAAAGAGTTGTAAATTGTGACACTAATAACATAAAGTATCGGGAAGAGAAGTTAAATAGAGAGCTTCAATACGCACTTGAATTTAAATTGTGATTATGTTAGACTAGACTGCTGTAAGTATAGCATGCCTCATGTTGACCATGAAGAAAATATCTACAGAAGATCCACTGTAGTATAAAGGATAGAATGTAAACACGTCAATACAGAAAAATGAACAAGTCATGAAGGCATATGGCAAGAGAAGAAATGATAGACCAAAGAACAAGACCGAAAGTAACTAAAACATTATCAGTATTTATTCTTTACATTAATGGTACAAACACCTCAATTAAAAGACCCAGAGGACCTAGATGAACTCAAATAAAAATGCAACCATACACTGTCTCCATAGAGCTCCGTTTTCTTTATATTTGTTCATTTAATGTTTGTTTGTCATTGTTGCTGTTTTTAAAATTGGGTCTAGCTGTCGCTAAGTGCAGCCTGGAAATCCTGGGTTCAGGCCATTCTCCAACCTCAGGCTCACACGACATTTGGACTATACACTCACCCACCATAGCCAACTCTAGAATTGTTTTAGACCTAAACTCACACTTGCTTATGGTGACAGGTACAGAAACATATTCTGTGCAAATCCACTGAAAGAGAGCTGGTGTGGCCATGTTTACATGAATAAAGAGAACCTGTCACAAAAGACAAAGTAGGTTGTTAGATAATGGTACAGTGCTCAATCCTTCAGCCAGGGACTTTGATGAAGACATACAAGTTTAATAAAAAGCACCAGCCTATACAAGACCAATACTGACAGGTTCTAAGAGAGAAAGAGAGAGCAATACAATAGTACTAGGACATGTACATATCCCTCTTTGACATTAGATGAAGCATTCATAAAGAAAATCAAAAGAAAGCAGTGGTTACAAACACCACCATAGACCTCATGGACCTAACAGCCATTTGAGAACAGTCGGACCAACAGATCACATTACTATTTATGTCTGGAAGTCCTCCCAGAGCCTCATGTGCTCATAGACAAAGACCTTGCTGTGCAGATAGAAGGGGTTAGGAAAGGATGTCGACCTCATGGGGAGGCTCTGATGGTAAATGTGGGGCCCTTGGTCACACTCTCCTGGATGGGCCCAGCTCAGGAAAACACCAAGTCGATTTGCTGCCATGTCCAGGCCCTCTAGGAGAGAAACACAGGAAGTGCACAGGGCAAAAGAGGTCCCCAATATTTTCTGCAAAAAAATCACCGAAAGCTTGGTGCCCACCATGAGGAAATGAGAGTCTGGCAACTAGAGAGGGCATTTCCCCTTTTTCTCAGGCTGCTCACTGCACAAAGCCTGGGGTGGCCCCACCATGCATGTCTGTCCCTGATGCCTTGCACCATGATCTCATTCATCTGCACAGCCCAAGAAAGTGGTTGCAGACACCATGACCCACACCTTCAAAGCCCTGCTCTGCCTGGGTGAGATGAGAGGAGAGGGAACAGCCTGTTATAGGAGGGACCCTACCCCACAGACAGTGCCTGGTCCATCAGGAGACCAGGGGATTAAGAGGCTCCCGGGAGCAGAGGACCTGCTCAGGCTCTAGGGCAAACTGTCATAGGGAACTCTCTTCCAGGGCTGAGTCTGGGCCCCAGGACTCCAGTGCAAATAGGTGAGTGTGTCCCCAGCTCTACCAGGCTCCTTTTCATCCTGGAGACAGGGGACAACCCCTGGACACTGGGGATGGGGAACGACAGGAGTAGGCTGGTGCTGGGAGGTCTGGAGGGTCCTGGGATTGAAAGGAGGGATCTGAGGGGAGGACCAAGTTACTGGAACCTAGCTATGACTTCCCTTCAGGGACCCACCCCAAACCCAGGCTCTGAGCTGAGCCAAGATCTGTGATACCATGGGGGAAACCTGTGACCCTCTGTGTGAGGGGACCCTGGAGGCTGCCCCTCCTTAGGAAAGTTTTAAAGTTATTTCACAAAACATCTACACATTCATGCATAATTTTAGAATTTTTTCACTAATTTTAATAACTTCTAACTAAAATGTTGGTTGATTGTTTGAATTTTGTAGGTAATCACAAAGCATACATAGGAAAGCTATTGAGTTAAGAATATTGCTTTCTTGGACCCTGGACTCAAAGTGAGGTCCCAGTGCCGAATTCCAGGTCCTATTCCATGTGGACCCCATGCTTCCCAGCCAAAGATGGACTTTCAAACCTTTGAGTGATAGCTACAGCTATCACAGGAGACATCGTCAGGCATGGTCCATACCCAGTGATCCCCTGGGTCTCCTGGCCTCAGGTGAGGAAGTCTCAGTCCTGTCTAAAAGAATTCTAGGACACCAAGGAGGTAATTGTAGACATTTTCTTTAGGACAGCTCCAGGTGACAATGATGAATTTTAGAATTCTCTGATGCTATGAGATGTTGGAATATTGATCAGAACTGCATTAAATCTGTACATCAATTTTGGATGTCTGGCCATTTTCACTGTGTATGTTCTTCCTACCAAAGACAAGGATTTCTTGTACTTTTCATAATAATTTTCAATGTGGAGATCTTTTACGTCCTGCAGTAGATTGATTCTTAGTTATTTCAGGTTTTTTGAAAGCTCTTGTGCAAGGTGTTGTTTCCCTAACTTCTCTCTCAGTGAGTTTTTTATTCATGTACAGGAAGGCTATTCATTTCTGAGTATTTATTTTGTATCTAGCTACAATACTGAATTTTGCTTATTAAATCTGGGAAACTTTTAGTTGACATTTGAGTGCAGTATCTGTGCACTCATCCACAACTACTTACAATTTAACTCCTTCCTTTCCTATCATTATTCCTTTGTTTCTTTCTTTTGTCTAATTGCTCTGGCTAAAGTTTCCAGCACTATATTGAGTAGGAACAGAGACAGTGACCTCCGTGTCACTGTCCTTATTTTAGCGTAAGAACTTTCACTTTTGTCCATTTACTGAGATGTTGGCTGTTGGTTTGTCACAGATGGCTTTTGTCAGATTTAGATAAAGACCATCTATGCCAATTTTCTGTAGCGTTTTTATTATGAATGGGGATTTGGTTTGTCAAAATATTTTCCTGCATCTATTGTAATGATTACATGGTTTTTACATTAAAATGGTGTATTTCATTTATTGATTTACATATGTTGAACCTGCATCATGGGATGACTCCAACTGGTGTACAGTTTTAAAGTAAATAGTAATCCTGCAATTTTCAAAGAATCAGGATATTGCATTCCTTAATTATGGTAAATAACTTCTTAGTATCAATTCATCTTATCCTAACAATTAAAATTGTTTCTTATTAATAAAATTTAGGAGTAATTTTAAGACTAATTCACAAAAACTTCTATGCATGTATACATAATGTTAGAATTTTTCACTAATTTAAATAATTTCTAACTAAAATTTGGATTAATTGCTTAAATTTTGTGCTGCTTGTAAAGTATTCATAGGAAAGCTATTTACTTGGGTATGTTACTTTTAATTTTAGTTAAGTTAGAATTCTTTCCCTCTTAATTGATTTTCAATGGATCTCTTCTGATTTAATGATTTTTGTATCAAGGCTGGGGATATAGCTTACCAGCACAGCAAGTGAATTTGATTCCCAGTACCAAAACAATTTTGTATCAAGGAAAATTAAACAAAAATTTCACTTCAGCTGAGGATATACCTCAGCAGCCCAGCACCTGCCTGGCAAGCATGAGATCATGAGTTAGATTCCCAGTACCAAAAGTAAAAACAAAATACAATCAAATAAATGAAATAAAAATATCACTTTGTGGTATATAAATTCCACTATGGTTTTTCCTTCTTCAGTCATGCACATGTGTCACTTTACATCTATCTAACATCATATGAATGTACACACATCCGCATGGTTAGTATCAATCATTCACCATGGACATGCACTTGTAACAGGCAGGAACACTGCATTTGTGAATTGATGACTTCATCCCCTCCAGGAACACACTCACATTTCTGTGTGTATCTCTGTGTCGCTGTGTACTCACTGCAGGTGCTGCTCACTGTCCGATGCTGAGCTAACAAAAGTCACAGGGAGGAGGAGGCACCAGGATTCTGGCTGGGTGGTGAAGGGGAGGCAGGCCCAGACTTCACCCTTTGTGTCCCTGATGTTCAGGGTCCTGAGAACCAGCCTTCAAACCTGGGCCTGGTGAATCAGTGACTCATCTCAAGGAGAATTAGCTCACATTTTCCCATGCCCCACAGCGTACAATGGCTCCGTGTCACCCCTTTGTCCCTCAGCCCTTCAATTCTATGAGATGGCTTCTCAGTCATTGTTCAGTTCTGAGGTTCTATGATGCATCCTCAGGTCTCCTCCTGGTCACATCTCGTCCACTATTAGCCAGGATTACAGTGCCCGTGTTGGTTACAGTG